TTTACTTTGATCAGAGGGTCTTGTGCTTGAGCGTATCCAGGTTTGGCAATCCGCATCACTTCGTCGTCCAGTTCTTTTGTAAGTACTTCCTCTTCCAAACAGTCCACTTTGTTGACTTCTCGGCCAAGGCTTTGCTCTAACTCGAATACTGCCAACTTGTCCTTCAACACTTTTAGGGCAGTCTCTTCCTTTGCTTTGTCATTGCATTCCTTATTGAAAACCACCAGTCTGGCTTTGAAGGCCTGAATATCTGCCATTTGCTTTTGCAATTCAGAATCCATTCAAGATTCCTTGATTATTCTTTTGCCAATTACTAGCTTTTCTAAGACCACTATATTTGGTCTCATTTGGCTGAACATTTCAGTGAGTGCGTCCAGTGCGTCCACTGAGAATGGTTCTTCGCTTTGTGCGATAACTTGAGTTTCTTCCCCGTCTTGTACCACTCTGACAGGTCCATAGTTTCCTTCGTACATAAACTTTTCCACTGAGTTTGCTTCTGCGACAAAAGGCCTATGATCGGCCTGCACCACTTCTACTTCGCCTTTGTCATTCCAAAAAATCAGGCATTGATGGAGCGACGAGGGTATACATCGACTTCCGTGTATCCAATCCCTTCCTAAAAGCACGTTGTAACTAGTAGGACCTATCCAATCCCTTCCTAGGAGCACGTTGTAACTAGTAGGACCATCTATTACAAAGAAGACCGTGGTCCTAGTAGTCGTACCTACAGTTATGTCCAATGGCATAACTCCCTTAGCTGAAGTTGCTCCTCCATTGAAGCTGGTGAGGTGACTTCTGTAGGAATCATATCACCCTCTGTTTTTGCGAGCTTTCTCATCATTCTGGATGGAATGGTGTTTATAGCTGCTCTATTGTCGACAAGCACTTTTGCCACTGGGACGCCGTTAACTAGAGCTTTAACGTATAATGGCCTCAGGTGTTTTGTCAACTTCATGGCTGGCCGTTTAAAAACAACCTTTTCGGCAGCCTCTATTTCTACCTCTTGCTTGTTTTCTGTCGAATTATCCCCTTGTGATAGATCGACGTGTAGTATGTCACGCTGATCCTCTGTCTCCTGAATCTCCTTCTTGCTTTTTTCTAATGCTTCCTCATCAGTTATCCAACCTGTGGGAGGAGGCATTATTTTTGCTTCCTCATCAGTCATCCAACCTGTGGGAGGAGGCATTTTTTTGGAGGTGACCCATACTTCTCAGAGCGAGGCACTCTCTTCTTCTTTTTGGGTGTCCCGTACAGTACGTAGAAATCGAAAGGACGCCCAGATGGCTCCCCCAATAAGTCTACTTCGCGGACTCCCTCTTGATGTAGTTGCTTAAACAGAGTATTGCGTGATACTCCTCTCTTTTTTCCTTTCTGCTTCTAGATCAATTTCTTCTTCAATGTCTGTCATCCCATCGTCCTCTTCATCGTTGTAGGCCTCTCCAGAAGTCTGGCCTTCTTCCCACACCAGCACGCAGGCTTTTCCTTCGTTGTCCTCCCTCTCTTCTTC